AGGTATTTTACCAAAAAAACAAACTTCTTTTTTATGGGAGGGGAAAACGGGAAAGGGTTCCTGGTTTCTGTCGTGTATTGTTAGTCAGAAGTAATATTCACGACAGACTAAAGTGCCCCTGGCCAGCATTAGAGGAAGAAAGGTGGAGAAGCCCAGAATTTTTCCTGTAAGGCAGCACTGACCCACATTTTTGTCTTGACCAAGTAACACAGATGAAGAAGGGAAAACTTAAGGGGGAGAATTACGAAATGGAACATCCTGAAATCTGGTAGCCTTTATTGGAAATTTTGCTTTTGAGGACTGGGGCTTTCAGAAAAGCCCTGGCCACTTTTGGTGGGTTTTGAGAGTTTAGTTAGCCAAATGCAGCTTCAGAATGTAGCAGTGATGTCCTGCTTACATGTTTGTCTGACCCCGTTGAAGGATTTATTATTTCCAGAGGTTTTTTCATTCCAGTGCTTTATGTTTTGAATATGGCAATGTATTCCTCTGGCCTTCTCCCCTCTCCTCTCATTGCCAAAACAGAGGGTTTCAGTTTTATTTCTGAATACTGCCATGTCCCTATAATAAGTAAGTAACACTCTCCCATGCTCCTTTCTAGTTTTAGCACACGGTGGCCACGCATTCCCCTACAGTCCCAGCCCAGGAGTGTGGCATCATCTCCGTCCAGCAGCTCCGAGTCAGGGAGCAGCAGTGACTCAGAGAGCTCCTCAGGCTTGGAGACCCACAGGATTGTGGGAATCAAAAGGCCTGGCAAGCCCCTGGTGCACGATGGGTCCAAGAGGCACCGGAAGGAGGACAGCGACCCCAGTCCACTGGAGATCAGGGCCCAGTCTTCCAGGGACTGATGCTGCAGTCTGTGAGCTGGGACTCACTGTTCTTGGAGTGTTCTTGGAAACCTTGGAACGCTGAATAAAAATGATGTAACTGAGCAGTGGTGAAGCAAGGTGCTATTTGGTGTCCCCTGGTCATCCTAACTTCAGAGGATCACTAATCTGATATGCCACTGTATTATTAAATGGGATGGTCTCTGCCATTTAAAAGCAGAGCATTTTAAGTCTCTCTCCATTGAATCCTCTCAACTTTGTAAGTGCTGTCTAGTTGAGCTGGCAAGTCAGTCTAATTCAGTCAAAGCACATAGAGGAGATGTCAGGAGGGGTATTTCTGACCACAGAAGGTACCATGTACCATAAGGAGGAGAGAGAGACAGTGCTGCAGTTTATTTGCCTTGTTGGGTGATTTGTCCCAGGGAGTTTAGTTGCTGTAATTACCCCTTCACTCAGCGACAAGGGGCTGTGTTGGAGGGATACCTTTTTTGCAGTGTCCTGATAGTCTGGGTGCAAGTGTTGGCTCCAAGGACAAGTCCTGAGACTTGCTCCTACTTGAAAAGCAACTTGTGTGTTGTTGGCTGATAAAGGTGTGATATCTAATGCACAATGAACTGAACAAAGTTTCATTTCGCTTTGGTTGAATCCTCTGTATTAACAAGTTGTCTCACACTTCCAGGGGAATTTAAAGAGAGTTGGTAGAGGATGTAACTGAGTCTTAAAAAAATCCCTACAATGTATATACACCATATTCACAACTTTGCTTCCCATCTCCAGAGCATCAAAACCATCATTTGAAACCCAGAAGAAAGACGTGCTGCCCCCACCCCAGCCAGCCGTGACTCCTGCACATCCTGCACCAAAGCCAACAGACATGACCCAAAAGATACAGAGCTGAGACACAGCTGAGACCTGGAAGAGACACAGAGCAGAGGCTGACAAACTGCCTGCCATGGATAACCCCAGGGATCCTTTGTTCACCAAGCACTGGCAAGTGAAGGGAAATTACACGGAGCTGTCAAAGAGCATCAGAGTAGGCATCCAGGATAACTGGTGGGATGTTTCCAGCAACCCGTGGGTGCTGTGTGATTTTCTTTAGAAACATACTCTAAGATTAGTCAGGGTTTCAGTACTTGTAGGAAACTGTAAAGACAATATTAGTGTGAAAATAAAGGTGTTGATAAAAAGAAAGGATGAGTTGCTTAAAAATAAGAAACTTGCAGTTTTGTCTGCAGCCCAGGTTTAAGGATTTATAGCTTCTTTACAAAATTGTTCATGACCCTTGCAGCTGGATCTTTGCATTTCTGGGTTCTAAAATCAATTCCATGGCTGTTTACCAGTGGCTTGTGTTCTGTGTTGTCCCAGGCACAGTCTATTGTCCAGGTGCTCCCCCTCTCACCTTCTTCCCCAGCAATGTTGTTGTTATGTGTGTGTTAAGCCAGACTTTGCACAGTGTATTAGGTGGCTTCTCATTGCTTGCTTTTCCTTGACACTGTAGTCAGTAATGGAGAGTCAGCAATTGGTGTGTGCTTAAGAGGGAAATAAGTGGGAATGGATATCACCCATTCCTGCCTTGGCTAGTGGCCATGAGAAATGTGCTGCTTGCAGCCTTCCTGCTCTTTTAGCCACTGTGCAAGGAAACCTGCTACTGAATTTCTCCATGCTTGGGAAAAGTTTAATGGTACTGAGCATTATGAGCAGCCAGGTGAGAAGCCAAGTCTCCACTTCCATTCTTGGATGGATTGCTGAGGAAGAAGGTGAGAGGGGGAGAGCCTAGAGAATAGACTATGCCTGGGGCAAATACACAGTTTCTCTTGAAATTTAAGAAAGCCAGGCTTTGGAATTGGTTTAGGCCTCTCTCTCTAACCAGCTTTATATCTGTGGTTTTTCTGGGATTTGCAGGGCATGTCACAAAGCCTTTCCCAGTGCCTTCTTTGCCGATGTCACCTTCAAGCCAAGGAGGCCTCTACTGAAGTTTGAAAAGTAAGTATCTGTTTTACACCCCTTGTCTGTAGTTCCTGAAGACACCAGGCAAGAATGGCCCTGCAGCCACTCTGGCTCCTGCTTCTTCAGGAGCACTTCTTTTGGGAGGACAGAGAGAGGGAGGGATGTGTGAGACCTGCCCTGTTGGAGCAGCACTTGCTAAAGGAACTTGGCTCCTGAGCAGCACTTGAATTTTGGAGTCCTTGCTGGGCACGTGACCAGTATTTGCCAGTAGCAATTTCTAGAATTGTTGCTCCTCTTGTTATTGTACAGTTTTGTCATTAAAACTGTTGTGTTCTCCTATGGTGCAAGCAGTGGTGCATCTTTAAAAGCTGTAGAGGGGGTGCAGTTCAGCCTGTAACCTGCCATCCCACGTGGCCTTTGCAGTGCCATTTTCCATAAAACACAAGGCTTTGTGAGCTACTGAGGATGAAGGGATGCAGTGCCATGATGTGCTGGCAGAGTGGCAAAGGAAAATAAGCACGATGTGCGGTAGGAAGGCTGTCAAAAGGCTCACACTGATGAGGCAGTTGCTGAAATTCTAAAGGCTTTGCAAGTGCCCTTTGAATCAAGTAGCTGTACTTGCTGAGTGTCCTCTGTCAGATGTGCCTGTTGTATGAAAGCAACCAAAGGTTTTCTCTCTCCCTCTCTTTTTCCAGAGATCTTTGCTGAAGTCATCAGAGAGACCCGTGCTCTGGTATTGACCAGGAGCCTGACAGACCTGTCACACTCCACCAGGCAGGGATTACAGTGACTGAGACTGGAAGAAAACATGCCGGAATTGTTTCTCCAGGATGTCAAATACCTCCCAGTTTTTTGTAGTTGTGAAGCCTTTGGAACTTAGAAACTCAGTTAAGCTATTTTTTTGAATTTTTCGAGAAAGCATCTTGAATTTTTTTGCACTTCTGAAAACTTAGAAACTTAGAAGCTTAGTTTTGTTAGTTTTTTGAATTGTTCAAAAAGAACTGTAGGCAAAACTAGAAACAGCTTAGTTATTTTTTTTAATTTTTGAAAAAAGCACTGCAAGCAAAAATATTTTAAATAAAGTTCAAGTTTTCTTTTTCCATTGGGAAAACTTTGCACTGTGTTTTTTTCAGGTAGTGCTTTCACCTGCCTTTAAAATGACAAAGTGCAATGAATTGTGTGCACGGACCAATCTATTGATGATCTATGCACATTTCTATTATGAGTAACCAACAGGACAATAATTGCACATATTGCTGACAAGGAGATCTGCCTCCAGAGGTTATTAGGTGACATCCCACAGTCTGCAGTAGTTGTGTGCCCAGAAAACACCAGAGGAATGTTTTCCAAGCTCTGGCACACATCCGCGCCCTCAGCACTGGAACTGAGTTACTGCGGGTCTTGCTCAGTTTCAGCCTTGGAAGCCTCAAGCTGGGGTGGCAAATGACAAGGGGTGTTTGGGAACAGCTCTGTCTGTCTCCTGTGGTGGAGGGATGTCACTCATGGGCTCCTGCTCAGAAATCTGCTGCAGAAGTACACGTCCCATGCTTTCTAATAGTTCCTCCAGCTTGCAAGAAGTGCATGGTTATACCTGCAGAGCACAGCTGATGTAAACCAATCTACTGGCAATTCTGAAGTACTCTTAGAAAGCTGAGACACTTTGTAGTTTATTTCTTCTCCCCTGTCTCAGCCATATTTTTCCTTTCTTTTGCCTCAGAAGCACATGAACAGGGAGTCACTAGGGGGTTCCACAGGGCTCCATCTTAGGCCCAGTGCTCTTCCACACCTTCTTGAATGACTCGGATGCAGGGCTGGGAAGGATACTAAGCATGTTTGCAGACAACACAGAACTGGGAGGAGCTGTGGACTCCCTCGAAGGCAAGGAGGCCTTGTAGAGACACCTTGACAAATGAGAGGGCTGGTTAATCACCAACCATATGGAGTTCCATATGGGAAAGTTCTTTTCTGTGAGGGAAAGTTCTGGATTCTGCACCTGGGATGGGGCAACCCTGGATGTTCAGACTGGGGAATGAGATGCTGGAAAGCAGTGCTGTGGGGCTGGTCCTGTGCAGGGCCAGGAGTTAGACTCGATGTTCCTTGTGGGTCCCTTCCAACTTGGCATATTCTGTTATTCTTTGTGCCCCCAAAAAGCTTTGAGAAGCCTATCTTTTCATCTGACGTCTAATACTCTTTACTCTCCAACAGTTCACTTACAGACTTTGCCCGGTGCAGTGTGGGGGTCTTTGGAAGGAAACAGATGTTATACTACTTCTCTCTTACCAAATCCTGCCTGGTTTGTCTTGAAAATACTAAATCCTAAGACCCCCCTCTCCCTCAGTGAAGGCCTGACTATTTGCCGTTGACCGTTTTGTCCTCTGCTGTTCAGTAAACGTCCGCCCACGGCGCTCAAGGAGCAAGTTAGTGCATGCGGCCTGTCGGTTTATAGCCAGTGCTTCACATGCAAAAGCCCAGACTTAAAAACCTCTAGGCAGCAATCTCTGGACTCTGGTAGGTTGTGCAGCGATAGAAACAGCCCACAAAAGCATCAGCCTTGAATCCTTCTTTTGTCTTTGTGTTGGCAGCCTGAACCACCAACTTCTATTAAGTGACACCTTGTCAAGTGTTATTTTATGGGGGGGGTGGGGTGTGGATTTCTTTAGCCACTGAAAGGCTACAGTATTCCTCAGGCCGAAGGTGGGAGGAGGTGAATGTCTCCCTCTGCTTTGCCCTCATGAGGCCCCGCCTGGAATGGCCCCCAGCTCTGGGGCCCAGCACAAGCAGGATGTGCCTGTTGGAGCAGGGCCGGAGGAGGCCTCAGAGGGCTGGAGCACCTCTCCTCCACAGCCAGGCCGGGAGAGCTGGGGCTGTCCATCCTGGAGAGGAGCAGGCCTCATTGAGGCATTCCAGTGCCTGAAGGAGGCCTGCAGGAAAGGCAGAATGATTTATTATGTGGGCAGAGACTGATAGGAAAAGAGGGAATGGTTTTAAGCCAAATGTGGGGAGATTTAGATTAGATACTAGGGAGAACTGTGAGGGTGGTGAGATACTGGAACAGGCTGCCCAGAGAAGCTGTGGATGCCCCATCCCTGGAAAGCCCCATTCCAGGACAGGGCCCTGAGCACCGTCATTTAGTGCACGGGGTCCCTACCCATGGCAGGGGGTTGGAACCAGGTAATCTTTGAGGTCCCTTCCAAACCAAGGCATTTTGGAACTCCGTGAGGGTGTCCTGTTACCTGGACATGGAATGTTACCCAGTGGTTGCCGTGGGGACTCATGGACTTCCCCTCTAGCTTTGGGCAGAAACTGGTGGCTCGGGAATGGGAATATTGGAGTGAGGGGATATTTGCAAGCCGTTGGGATAGGCTTTTCCTTGGTGAGGCAATGGTAAGAGATTAGAGGTGATGTCTTTTCCTTGATGTGATGCACTCAGGTAGGAATGGCCCACAGCACCATTCAATGCATATTCCAGCAGTTTGTCATTAGCTGGGCCCTCTACCTCAAGGGAACATGTACAGCATGGTACCACAAAATTAGAATACCCTCTGATTCTCATTTTGGTGTTTTTGTTTCTGGTTTTGTTTTTCTGTGTGATATACATTCCCCTATGTTAAGTGAATCTTTTGTTAATTCCTATCTCCCACAAGCTGCTGTCATGCAACAGAACTGTGTGAGGAGCTCAGCCACTGCTCCTCTTGTGCTGCCACTTGTGGAAGACAGGGCTGGTAATGCTCTGTATGGACTGTTGAGGGCAAAGCTTGAGTGAAATGTTGGACATGTTCCTGAAGAGAACCAGGACACCATTTGAATCTTACCTCACCGTATTCCACCATGGCAGCCCATTTCATTCCTCTGCCATCTCTGATCTTGATTCTAACATTCTGTTTTTCAGCTGGTGAAGAATTCATAGATCTCACAGGTGAATCTTCCAAGCCAATCTAACTGGCAATAGTTCTGTTGTGGTAAGCAGTGAATGGCACCCTTCTCTCCATCCTGCAGTCTCTTGTGCTCCCAGACCTGTCTTCTGGCATGTGACTGAGCAGCCTGACCTCAAGGGTCTGATTTACCACTTAAGACAGAGTTCCCAGTCAACTCCAAATGCACTCATGAACACCTCAGCATGTCTATCACTTGCAGAGGGTGGAGAGTAATCTAAAAAAGCTTGTTGCTTCAGAACTCAGGGAGAACATTTACAAATCATGGGTAATGTTAACAGAAGGAGATGCCATTTAAGGCTGAAACTATTCTAGAGATACCCAAGACATAGGCCGGTGATTTAAAGAAAAAGCAAAGGAGAGGACAGGAAGTCTTTGACTTCACAAATATGAAATGTTTAGCTGGTTTAAGGTATGCCTGTCACTGAGGTGCCAAGCATAATTGTAGTGGATCAGGGCACAAACGAGTTCTGTTTATTACTCCAAGAAGTCTGTAAATAAGATCCAGCCCACAGTGTAGTTTATCCCCTCAGTTTTGGGATGCCACTGCTGCCTTGTAAAGCAGAAACATTTAGCAAGAATAGGAAAAGGCCTCAAGCTTTTTTACAAAAGGATCTGCATGACCCAGCTCAAGTTCCACAAAAATAATAGTGGACTTGGGGTTGGGGTTTTTTTTCAGCAGCAGTTCATCTAATACAGAGTGCTTATGGCTATCACAGCTGAATTTGCCTATTTGAGGGAGAGAGAGGGAATGAAACACCTACAGCCCAAAATCAATTAGGGAATTGAAACAGGGGAGCAGGGAGGAGAGGCTTCAGGTGGCTCCTAAGCTACTTCCATTTCTACTCCATTGCAGCAGCAGGACTAAAACCAGCAGCACCCACTTGTTTCCAGAGCAGCAGATAATTCAGTAGTGACAATGAGTGACAATGAAGAGGAACCAAGAAATATTAATGGGTATGTGACAGATAAAATGTCTCTAAAGTCTAGTTTCTGATACACATACAAACAGGTTTTTGCCAAGCTTTTGGGTTCTGTTTGATTCTGTGTGAAAATTTTTGAGCTGGAATATAGAGGCCTGCCTGGAAAAGAACTAATTAAACAGAAAAAAACCCCACAAAACAAAACAAAAGAAACCACTGTGAGAAATAAAAATATGGTTTTTTATAGGCATATCACAAAGTTGTAAGATATTCAAGTCTCAGGCTGGGACTAGGTCAAAGGACTTTTTTGGCCTGATAAGGGAAATATAAAAATTCCAAAAAATTAAAATTTTTGGGGACCATGTGAGAATTTTGTTCACAGGGATTTCTCTTCTCTCTTTGGGCTAAGAACAAAGGAAGATCTATCATTTTTCACAGAGGATGTCCAGTGGCCAATTGGAAAGAAGGGAAAGCCCCTTTTCAGAGAAAAGAAACCTTTTTAGGCAAAAAAGAATATATTAAGCTTATCTGAAAAGGGTGGGGATTTTGTGAAACTATAAAATGTATGGAATTTAAACCGAAGGGATCTTTCCCTTGGAAACTCGGTGCGAGAAAGACCCAACGTGTTGAATAAATTCTTCCTTGTTTCTTTGTTCCCTGAGTTTATGCCGTCTTTCTAAATTTAAAAAGAGGGATATTTCCCACACCACCAAAAAACCAAACCAAAAGCACCAAAATCCAGTAGGAACCTTTCTTCTTTGTTCATAAAGGCATTATTGAATGTATCTTACACTATGACTTGAGATATATTGAAATGCTTGCAGTACATAATAGTTCTTGGAATAATTTTGTTGCTGGGGTGGGATGATGCTAAATCTGAATAGGGGATGTTTTAATTTCTGACATTTTATGTATTGGTAACCCTTGATGCACAGTAAAATTAGTGGCTGCATGTTTTTTCTGGTTCTGTTCTCTGTAGCACATGGCCAACAGGTCCTGTTAGTTCTCCAGTTTGGGTGGATATGAGCTCAGAGGTAAAGATCCACATGTTGTCATCCTTTCTGCTTTGTCGGGGGGAAGGGGCAGAGGGGGGAGCTGTACCTCTCAGTTGGCTAATGTGGGGTGCTATGGGCAGCTGGCTTGAAGCACAGACCTTACTTCGAAGCTCCAACTAGCACGTCACTCCAAGTCACTTCTTCATGGTGTATGTAGAGGGGGAAACCCTTGCCAAGATGGCACTCTAAGAACTGAGGGTTCCTTATTGTTCTAGGAGTAACTGGCAGATACTCGAAGTCCTATTTCCCTGGTGCCAGTACAGCAGCAAACTGGAATTCTTTACTCCCAATCACCGTTGTGGTTTCCTTTCTTCAGCAGCTGTTCATTTAACACAAAGTGTTTGGGGCTAACACAGCTGAATTTGCCCATTTGAGGGAGAAAGAGGGAAAGTAATACTTTCAGCCCAAATCCAATTAGAGAACTGAAACTGAGGAGCTGGGAGGAGGGTCTTCCAATGGTTCTTAAGCTGCCTCTGTTTTCTGCCCTTTTGCAACAGAGGGAGCAGAACCAGTAGCAACCTATTACTTGTTTTCAGGGTAGCAGCTAATTGACTACTAGTTTGAGTGTACTTAACCAAAATAGGAGGTTGATAGCATTCTTCCCCTGTGCTGTTGTAACTGCTTCACTGAGCTGGTGCTGCACCAGGGGTGCAGACCAAAGTCTAATTGTATTTTCTTTTCTCTCCCTTCCCATATGCATTGATGAAGCTTCCTGAAGGTGAGTTGACATTTTACAGTTGATAATGGAAATGTCTTAAGCATAATTATTATGTTTTGTTTGTCTTTTTCAACAAACTTGAGGAGCAGGAATTGAAACTGCATTTAGCAAAATGAAAGTACAATGCTAAAGCCTCTGTGCAGCATCTTAGAGAATGGATCCAATCTGAACCTGATAGCCACTATCAGGCACACTAGAAAATCCCTGCAAATAAAAGTTGTAGCTGAATATTTATGCAGAAAGGAACTTTAATTTGGGGACACTTTCTGTAATTTTGATTGATTAGTACTTGATTATTGTTACATGGACTGTGGAGTTGCAGAGTTGCCTGTGGTTTCTGAGAGTTAAAAAACAAACAATATTTCTTGACCCTTTGGATGCTATAGAGCAGGCCATTAAAAACTGATCTCCTTTTAACTTGGGCAATATAACTCCATTGTCAAGTTACCTTAACTCAGGAGAGAGATGATGACAATTTCTAAGGAGACTTTAAACCACTTTATAAATTCCGAGAACTGTTCTTAACAAGACTCATCTGATAGAAACTGCCTTTGAGTGGGGAGGTTTGGTTTAACACAGACAAAGAGAGTGCAGCAGTTTAGCATCATACAGCAACAAGGAAGCACAACAGCTCTGGAATATATAGTTTTAGATTTAGGCATCTCTTCAATCTCTTATGAAGGTTTCTGAATAAAGCACTCTGTGTTTTACCAGGCCTTTTTGTTGTGTATGTGCTGTGTCACCATGCTCCTTGGAAACTTGACTGCAGCCCTCTCTCTCCACTATCACACAGCAATTGTTGCCCTTCCTGGCCATAGGATTGCAGCAGACACTTTTAGTAAGAATGGGGTGAGGGACCTTCCCTTTACAGGGCAGCTTTATTCACAGGTAGTGTAAGTCTATAGAACTTATACATTGAGAATGTCTTGGGTCACCTTTTCAGCTGTTTGTAGGGTGAATAGGGCAAATGCTTTGTGTTGGTCCATAGCAGAAATGTCTGGAAAGTGTCTGGAAGGCTTCAGCCTTAATATTTGGGAAACTAGTTTGTTTAAGATTGCATTTAACCCAGGTGAATAGAGTTCATTTAAAACAGGAACCATTACAGACTATTTATGATAATGCATTTGAAGGATAGTTCCGGGGGGAAGAGAGAGGGAGAGAGAGAATAAGAATTTTAACTTATCAAAATTAAATTACAGAGTATATACAACAAATGAGAAATCTTTCACTTACAAGCCATCAACAGTCAGACAGGTCTGTACTGAGCAGATATGCTGAAGATGAAACAACAGTCAATGATGTGTATGGGACTGCTACAGCATCTGAACAACAGGTATCACCAGAAGAGCAAACTGCAAGATCAAAGTATGTATTCCTTATGACCTACCAAACACTGAATTTGCTTTTTAAAAAAATTTTATATAGATAGGACTAAGTTATAGTGCAATGGCCTTCACTTACTCTACTTATTTCCCTCTTTCAATGAGGATAACATCCTGTATTGTATGATGATCAAATGATACCATTTGCACTTTAGGAGAAAAATGCAGCCCGAGACAGATGCATAGCTTTGCATACAACCTTAAAGATGGGAGTGGGGGTATGGCAAGGAAGGGAGATAAGTCACAGGCCGTAGCTCACAATGTACATTTACTTTTTATGCCAAGCTCTGGTAGTGATGTTAGATACAGCAACACTTTCATTGGTATGGATGAGGCTTGGCATCACGAGACCAGCAGGCAGCAGCCGGGCAAATTCTCTGCCGGTTTTAAATAAAACTGGTATGCTTTGAGCCTTTTGGGTTACTGAAAGGCAACATAGGAGAAAATATTAAAAAAGGAACATTGTGTTCCTTTGGTCTCAAGCTTCTCCGTTACAGAATGCACCTTCCTGCTCTGTTCAGGTGAGGCTGAAAGAGCTCAGAGCTGCAGCATTTAACATTGACCAAAGGGTCCTTCCTGGGGCTGGAGCTTGCCAGAGCCATCTGCAGTGTTACGCTGTAGTGTCAGACCTCATTCCCTTCTGGGGTGAAGAGTTCCCAGAGGATAGCTAAATCCTTCAGTTACAAAGCTGTTACTGATGACCTGTTGGAGGTTAATGCTGCCATACATAGGCTGCCCAGTGCTGGAGACTGCTGTTAATTCAAATCCTAGAGCAGGGTGGCTGACTGCATCTGTCTCCCATTGAAAACCAAGATGCTGTTTCCTTTAGGACAGGGAGCTCTGAACTCCTCATTACATGCAGCAAACTGAGAGAGTTACAGATTTGCAGGGTTCTTCAAAAGAAATGCATCATGGCTACTCAGTGCAGTCAGATGATTATGTGATGTTTTATGTATCAGTAACCCTCAATGCCCAGCGATAGTAATGGCTGCTTGTTCTTTCTAGATCTGTTCTCTCTAGTCCATGGCCACCAGGGACTATTTGTTGTCGAATTTGCACGGATTTGTACACAAAGGTAAGGCTCCACATGTTGTCATCCTTTCTGCTTTGTGGGAGGGGGAACGGGGCAGAGGGGGAGCTGCACAACTCAGCTGTCTTATGTGGGATGCTACGGGCAACTGGCTGGAAGCACAGACCTTGCTATGGGGCTCTGAAAATCACTTCTTGGTGGTGGACGTAGAGGGAAAAACCCTTGCCAAGATGGCACTGACAGATCCGTGGGTCCCCCATTACGCTAGCAGTAACGGACTGATTCCAGATCCTCCAAGTCCTATTGGCCTGGTGCCAACAAGAGCAGCAAACTTGAATCCTTTCCTCCCAATACATGTTGTGGTTTCCTTTCATCCAGATTCTGCGAAGTCAACGACTGGTTTTGGCAACCCGGTGTGGCCATATCTTCTGCAGTCAATGCCTCCATGCTGCCATTGAGGTTACCGGGGCTTGTCCAGCCTGCAGCAGACAACTCACTCACAGACAATATCATCCCATTTATTTATGAGTACTTCTGTTTCTCAGCACAGATTCAGATGGATTTTGGTGAATAGGTGGCAGAAAGACTTTTTGCTTCATGTATACAGTTCTCATTGTATACAGCTCCATTTTTTCCTGAATTTAATTCTAAATAAATTGTTGATTTAAGTATGGTCAAGTCTGTTTGCTCATCTATGTTGGACTCAGCTGGTAGACCAAAACTTCTTGTAACAGGTGGAAATAAAACTCTTTGTTGGATCAGTCAGAAGCATTCGTTCTTTTCATCACACTGAAGTCATTGATTTGGCAGAGAAAAAATGCTAAAGGCATAAGCTTTGTAGTTCTTGGGGCAGTGTGTGTTGTGTGGGGAAAAGGAAACAGGCACTGCTTGGGCTGCAAGGACTTCTGTTTCTCAGGACAAACTCAGCTGGATGTTTTGGTGAAAATTTCATGATTTCAGTGTCCTGAGGATTTAAAGAGCAGTAGATTGTGCACACGTCCAAAGAAAGCTATTCCCTTGAAGAGTAACTTGTACATATCTAGACAGCTTGTTTATGGTCCAAGCTGCTCCTTGTTACATCCGTGGTTGTAAGGTTCCATTGATGCCTGCCAGCTGATGACAGGAGCACTGCCAGCTTCTGTGAAGCTCTCCCCCTTCTGAAAAGCCGGTAAGCTTAAGGGCAATTGCAAGAATATAGCAGTGTGAACTGCTGTGTTCAACATTTAACCCGCAAAATAGAAGGTGCTTTAAGTAGCGAGGTAAAGACATAAAGCAACTGCCCAGGAACGCAGCGCCACCTTTTGCCATTGCCCTCACTGTCATCTTCACCGGGACCATCGCCATTTGCCTTTTCCACTGCAAAAGCAGATTGCGTACAGAGGGAATGAGGAGCCTGCAGCAGCTCCTAGGTCCAGGGTGCTGACATGGGCCGGCAGCAAGTGTCCCTGTCAGTCACGGGGAGTTACACCAGACATTGCCAGCGAGTGCTGATGGCGTGTACCTGTCCGTATTTCTGGGAGAAAGCATCCTGCTGAACGCACAGGTCATTTCTCTAACTGCCTGCAGGGCTAAGCGAGACCTGCACTTCCCAAGCTCTGGGTTCAGCGCTTGCAAACGTCTCCATCTGCCAGCTGGACGTGGTACTTCACAGCTCAGGGGCTGTCGCTGCTGAAATACCCTTCCCTCCATGGGAGCCCTGCACAAAGGCTCGTCTTGCATTTCTCCTTGAAAAATTCTTCTATTTCATCAGAAGAATTTTCAGTTCCTGGGGATGGAAACCCCAGGATAGAATAAACTGTCATGGACTTCAGGCATCATTTATGTGGCACACTCGGGGTAGACCTAAGAGCATTTGCAATCAGAATGCCAGATTTCTTGCTGCTTGGGGAGAAAGAATAAAAAGACAACAACACTGACACTTCTGCTCTATTCGGAGTAAAAGATAAAAGTTTGCTGCAAGTTATCCTATAGAAAAAGCACTGCTTTATTTGCAAAGCAACTTTTAATAGGAATTCTTTAGTTCTCTGTTGCAGTTTATGGATTTCATAGGTTGTATATTTGGGAAGCTGTACTTTTACTGCTTCCAGCAGGACTCATGGAAGTTCAATCCAAACCACTGCTTTGATTTGGTTTGTTACTAGTTGGGGAAAAAAAGGGGAAGTATGGTATATTTAATTTTGTAATCCTTATTGTAGATTATGGAAAGTTTCTTCAGAGGTTAGGCAGAGAAGAGTGTGACCAATACTTTATCCATGCAAGTTTCACTAAATTCTAGAGCAGTATACAGCAAAGAGCTGCACGTTACCATCCCCAGTCACCAAGTCATCCATATTCTAAATTCCTAAATGTATAACTCTGCACTTTATCATCAGACAACAGGACCACATATTTGTGGTTTCATCACTTCCAGCCCTATGTGTGCAGTCCACCTCAGCTTTGCGGAGGAGCAATAAAAAGCTGAGCTCCTTTTAGCAAGAGCTAACAGTGTTCTGAGCTCACCCAAATCTATTACTTCGAGTTCCTTAAAATGCATCTCTGTAGATATTTGAGAAGCTACTCTGCTGGCTATTTTGAATGGCTAATAAACTCTCTTTGTGTCATCCTAGTGAAAGGTCCAGTCAGAACACAGCGTGTCCTACAGTCCCTCAACTATGGTAGGCAGAACAGGGGAAATAACAGAATAACAGGGAAGAGTACTCAGGGATACTAAATTTTCTTAATAATCATTCTTGATTGTTGCATGGAAGACAGAACTGCAAGGTAAATAACTAGTCTTCAGATAAAGGTAAGGTGAAAATTGTCTTCCTCCAGTTTATAGCATTTTGAGTATCTTTTTGTTTATTTGCAGGATGGCTTATGCTTCTTCTCCCACACATTCTTCCAGTAATATTAGTGACCTCTGATCCCATTTCACATTCAGATATTGTCAGAGAAGCAGAAAGTGCGCCTCAAAAAGACTTCTTTTTTTTTAACTTTTCCCAGGAATGTGTATCTCTATTGGTTTATAAGAGTCTTTTATCTAATAAGATATTAAAAGAAAGTTATAAATTATGTGTGCTTAACTCTAGAAGAGATTTTAAATAAGAGGACTATTACCATTCAAATCTAACCTGCTCAGGAAGCTGGAGTTAATATCTTTGACTTTGGAAGACATATAACAGGATCATTAGTGAACAGGAGTGGCCAAGGTGCCACTCTACAATTCATCCACTAGACAGCCACTTTAGTAGGACAATATCCTCTAGCCCTAGTCTGTAGCACTGGTTCTTTGCCCGCTGTCACAGTACATTTGGATCTCTCAAATTTACAGAGCAATGCACTCTGTAAATTAAACTTTATTTTACAAACACACTAAGAAATGTATCAAACAAAGATGACAAGCAAGGGCTCAATCCCCTTTGCACAGGTTAGTCTTTCGTGAATGCACTAATTCATCACTTAAGTCATGAGATTTGTCACTCACAAGTTATCTAATTCATAATGTTCAACTCATAACTTATTACCTTTAGCTTTTAACTTGTGCATCTATGAGCAAATTTAGTTACCTGAGTGCTCATCTTGCCTCTTCCATTACAGTGTGGGCATTCACTGAAGCACAAAAGTCTCACCAGTCAAGCTGGGGTTGATTTCCTTTCAAAAGCATTTTGCATAAGCTGATTGGAAGTTTTTTCTATACCATTTCCATGAGGTAGTAAATTCTTACAAAATGGCCAGACAATCAATATTCAATATTCAAAAATCAACATACAGAATGATGGCTGCAGGGCAGAGCAATTTATAGGTGATAATGGCTGCAAAACAGCGTTTTAGCCCTTTCTGGCCACCTCTCCTGCCTGCCTGGTGATACCACTCCCAGCATACCTCCAGATTTAACGTGAGTTGCATTAGACAAACACCCAGCAGGAGCTGAGTGAACAGTCACACTCACGCACAGAAAAGTAATGTCTCAAAAATCACAGTGATAGCTTAATGTCTCAAAAATCACATTTGATTTTCTGTGGGGAAAAAAAAATTAGAGAATAGTTTTGTCTTTTCTGAACTTCCCAAAAGTGGAGGAAACCCAGATGCAATCCTTAGTCCTCCCTCATCTCGAGAGAAGCTCGGATAAGATGGCTCTGTGTGTCTGCCATAATAATGAGGTAAATCTAAAACTAAGCCAAGAAGTCCAGTCAGCAGCGTAAGGCCAGCTTCTGCAAGGGGCAGGGGTGGGCATGGGCACAGCTGCAGCATAGCTCAGACAGGGACCAAGGGTAAGAGCTGGAGCTTAGTTGCAGCTTCTGAGCGAAAGACAGGAAACCTCAGGGGAGGCATCTCACATCTCTTTCTCGTGCAAGTATTACTCACAAGTTCAGTGCTATCCCAGCAGTCTGATGTGGAGGTACGTGTATATATTTTCAATAACTGCTTTAGTATTTGTGTGTAGTTGGGGACTTACCTCTACATCCATTTATCATGTGTGTAATAATACAGTGTGAGTTCACTTCAAAAGACTTCCCCTATTCTAGTAGCCATTTGCTTTCATAAAACTTAAAAATCTTAAGTCCGTGGTCCCTTTCTCAGATCAAGCCTGCATCAGCCAATGAAGTAGATATTACTAGGGAAGGGGGCACTTGTAAATAAGGTTTTCTTCTACAGGAAGCCAAGCTATAAAAATAGAAGTAGGTTCACTGAAGCAGATGGACTTGTGGAGTACATGTGTAGGTGAGGGGAGAATCAACCTATGGTACTTTTACTTAGGATCAAATTTCTGCTTCAAAGTGATTTATAAAGCTAAATTCACAGCTGCATAAACTTCTCTTTAGTGGATCCTGGAAATCAAAAGCACCAGAATATGAGTCTGCCCTGCTATTCTGAAAGGGATCATTACTTTGGCAAAGGTTGATTGAACCCACTGAACAAATGTCTCTAACAAGTAAAAAGTATTAAGTACACAAACCATGTATATTTTCAAGGCAGGCGAAAAGGACAAAACAACAAACAAACCCAACAGAAGACAGAATTGAGTAGCAACTCATACACTCATCACTCAGCTCCAAGAAATACAAATAATTAAATTCACCTCTCTGTTTCTCAAGACAGGTAGGAATTCTGTTCTTATTGATAATGTGTCTGATGCCTACCCAAGCCATTGTGGATGCCTCTAGAAGAACTGCCACAGAACAGCCTTCAGAGATAAGACAACTGCTTTCTTACCAGTATCCCATTTCTGTGCTGACTTGAACTCTATATAGCATTGTGAATCCCTGGGTGGGATGAGGATTGCAAAGGATTAAGCTTTTGTTAATCCAAGCACAGACAAATACAAACTACTCAAATGGATAATCTGTTTTGTTAGCCATGAAGATATCAGTTTTTGATTAAGCTGTCAGAAGGCTTAGCATGGTCTAAAAGTTAAACAAGACATTTATTTTAAGAAGATCCACTTGTCACAGAAAACCAATCTAAAAATGGTAAGGTGAGAAAATTGCAAAAGCCATTTCTTTAAGCCAAACTGTGTAGGATCACTGAATTTCAAGATCTTATTAATTTTAAAGATTGTATCTCAATACTAAATGAAAGAAACAGAATAATATCCTTGACATTATTGTTTGGATTATTGTCATGTTTCAAAACCAAAATTTGCTTTAGAATAAAGGAGAAACAAGCAAACATCCCAAAAAACTTTCCAGGGATTCCAACCTTAACTGTGCTAAAAGCAATATGAACTTATGAGAGCTCAACATCTTGAATCCA